CAATGATTGGATTGGGTGCAAGGGCCATTACGCAGTGAAGAGGGTGATTTGTCATGTCAGGCATGGTTTGAGGGCTTGATTTCTTTTTGTACCACGTAAATTGTCTATCAATACTAAGCGACAAGGTGTTTTCCACAATGAGAGTGAGAGATTAGATTTATCGGTTGACGGTTTTAAAATTATTCGTGATTTCCTTGAGTAACGGGATATAATAAAACATAATGTAATACTATTTAATATTGTATATAATAACAGTATAATACGTGGTGGAGCCACGCTGCAGCTATATTTTGCATGTAGTACAAACGGGGAAGGTCCACGCTTTCACAGAATTCCAACGTAAAACAGCAGCTTGACGCTGCTGTGCTTCGTGCGGTGAGTGCTGGAGACCCTTTTCACTAATAACGAGTTGTACCATCTTATTACTCAAGGGTGACTACGTATCTGCATTTTGAATCATAATCCAGGATAGATGTCGCTGTCTATGTGTCACATCATCCGCTTACCGTGTAATATACTAGTTTATCACCCTAATCCTATAAAAATATTTTCTTGCGTAGAAGAATTTGTAAAAGAAAATTTCCTTTTTTTCATTTTGTAACGTTTCAAGATACAAATATCAGAAAACTTTATCAGTTTCCATTAAATTATTGTTTAAAATACAGGTATATGCCGTTTTATACAAGAAAGAAAATCTGTCATCGTAAAACTCGATAAATTACGTGAAGGGAATTTTATGCCTCTTTCTAAACATATTATTACAAGCATGGATGAGTGAAAGATTTAGCATAGTAAAAGTTTATATGGATAAGGAGCGCAGAAAGCTAACAGTTATATTTAGTAAGGGTTACAAATACATTGAAATAAATAAAACATACACGAGCTGAGGTTCGTGACAATAAAATTGCCGATAAAAATACCTAAATTAACACTTTAATTTATTTACACAAATTAAAACCAACACTTTTTGAGCGCGGCGTAACAATACATTGCTAATGATCAAACTGCCAATATCTAAAATATAATAGCCTGTTGTCAAGCAATCGCACAGAGTAGAGATTATCATCAAAGGATTTCAAAATGTTACGAGTATCAAGAAAAAACGAGTTTATTTTGAATATGAGATATCTGTGTTTTATATAATAACGTGCCTTAAAAGTGTAATATAGTTTTCCTAACATAAAAACCTAAGTGTTTAATTAATTACAGTTGAATAGTGGTCACTAGCGACCTCTAGTATATTAAATTTCAGGAGCATATTGAAATATAGCTTACGTGAAGAAAACATCATGTGACCTTTTTCGACTCGTTTTCATTTAACCGCCGAGGAGTGGTACTTTTAAAAATCAATTTCAGTAAATATATTATATTGCTCATGAACGCACATGTGATAGTAGCATCTCTATCAAAACCGACTAACCATTCCCGTAGGTCCGAGAACTAACAAAACACTTCTCAAACACGACGTTGAATAAAACCGATATTAATTTAGATTTTAATCACCGCGTCCCCTCACTAAGTTATTCCATGTTTAAGTTTCTATAATTTCCTTGGGGGTTTAGTTGGGATCTATTTGACGATGGCCACCGACTGAATTATTAACCCGTCCCGGATCGGAGGGGTCACTTTGTCCAATTACAGAAATATTTTTGATATGTCTGTCGAAATTATGAATATAAAAAAATATTTTTCTATCAAGACTTCTTATATCTGACAAAATAAAATAGAACGTTCGTGCTTGATTATATAAACTAATAGGCGTTTTATAACTCGGAATGTGTTTCTGGAATATTAATATAAAACTATATGGCATTGATACGTCATTTATATATACCAAGACATTTACTGCCTGGTCTAGTGGCCGATATGATGTCTGTTGCCCCTGCTTCTTATGGGCAATTTCTCTTATGGGACGTTTTAAATGCAATACACCGTACAAAGTGACTGACTCGGCAGCCGAAGTCTGAACTTCTTGTCAGTAGAAACAGGTTCAACCAGACATAAGCCTAAGCAAACGAGAAGTTCTGCTACCTAAATTACAAAGTAAGAAAAATATAGTGAGGTAAATGATAACAAGTACATATAGTAATAATAATATCTTCCCGAACGAAATTCGGTCACGGCGGCCAGCCTACCGAGACTAGCCATCGCAAGCACAGGTGCACTCCCTATTCCCTCACTCTCTTAGTCGTAAATATATTTGATGTCGCTGAACTCGAACGGCTACGATGTGAGGCTGTTCCTTCATTGGAATCAACTTTAACTTTAATAATTACATCGGCGACAGGCAGCAGGGTCAAAGGTGGAAGGCTTTTGATACTGAGACCATCAATTCGCTTACTAACGTGACTATTAAGGCAAATTTTTTTATGCATTCCTTGTAACATCCATACGTGGCCACGCTGCGGCTATATTATGGTTGTAGCACGAATGGGTCGGCTCGCCTGGGGAAGGACCACGCACTCACATAATACCAGCGTAAAATAGCTGCTTAATAATGCTGTGTTTCGTATGGTTAGTATCCGGCGACCATTTTTTACTGGAAACGAGGCATTCCATTTTAGTTCTCAGGAGTGACAATGCATCCGCGTTTTGATTCCTAATCAAAACACATTAGAGCTTTCTGTGGTTTCCATAGTTATCTTTAAAGAAAACATGACTCAAAATGAGCTTATTATTGACATTGTATATATGACATTTGAGATATGACTATATTATTTGTGGGATTTGCTGCAGAGACTATCGGTTCGTGGTGTGCAATGTGCATGTTCGGTGAAGTTCATAAAGTAACTGTATTCACGACTGGTCGCTGTTGGTGATAAAGGGGGGGGGGGTTCCCGCTCAAAAGTCAAATATAGTCGCGAGGCAACGCAGCCAGAGTTCATAACACTATGCTGCGTGAAGTAGCACTATATGACAATTTAAATTTTTGAATAATTTTTAATGGTAATAACTATTGTACTTATTTCAACATTATGTAAATAAATGATTACCCAATATATTATTATTATCTCTTATAATATTAAAATGTAAATTATCTAAATATTATAGATATCCGAGGTATGAACGCGAATGTATTGACGCGCGCTAAAGTGGTAAAGAAGGTAAAATAATCATCGAAATTGATGAAATTAATATTTCAAGAAGACTTATGCCCCTTGTCATTCATCCTGACGTCTTAAACAACAATTGCTTAAATTCTTCAATAATATTCAATTCCACGAAACATGCAGTATCAATATTTAATCTTTAAATGGTTACGATGGGCTTTCGAGAAATTTTCATGCATAAAATATGTTAGTTTCCTAAAAATAAATTGTGAAAATTTTCGGCGCTCTTAAGCTTTCAATGTTCAGAATACAAAATAAGTTAGTAATTCTATTTTATATTCAAGTGTACGGGATACAATGAGTTAAAGTTACAGCATATTATATACGTCCCACTCCTGGGCAAAGGTCTCCTTTCATTTCTGAGACGGTTTTAGGGCAAGGAAATGTCCGCGCGCTATCTTAATACGTATTGACGAACTTCACATGTCTTCGATTTTTTTTTATTTCTCAGACATGCAGGTGTCCTAACAATTTTTTCCTTCACCGGCAAGTACGTGGTAAATCAGCACTTATAATTGCAACTGTACTGTGAAATTTATAGCGAGCACTAAACATCTGAGCTACCACGGCTCCTAAAAAAAAAGTAATGTAATATAAATATTTGGAATTCTGTCGTCTGATCTGAATCCGTAGCGGTAAATATATTTCACGCCCGACTTGGAATACCCAAATTAAGAAGCAAAAGGACAGGAGTGTCAAAAGTACGTCTGGTATAAGCAATCGTCGGGTAGCTTGACGATAAAGGCAAACTCCAACAACAGGAGAGTTCCATGAATTGAGACTTTATGCGCTGATCAAACTTTTGAAAATAACTACTATAGTTTTGGAGTGTTACGTCAGATACAGTGTGAAATGTTCAGTAACAATTACAATAGTACGAGTAAGTAGTCATGTAGTACGTTAACGCTGGGATTTAAAAAAGATAGTCGTATTTTTTTACAATTGGTAGTAATGACAATTTTTCCTTAGACTTTTTCATTCGGATACGAATATTTCGCATTGTGGTCGAATGGGAGCGAAAAGCAACCCTCTTCAATTGGATAGGGCAGACGTGTCCCATTATTTGCCGAGCCTCTCAAACTCCGTCCACGTGACTCTCAAAATAGGAGCACTATCTCAATATCAATGTTTTAGTAGTTAAAATGTAGTTTGAATTGATACATTTATTTTAAACTCCTATCTATTGTGACTTAAATTTCTGATTAGTTTTATTTGCTTTGGAATTATATGAATTTTTAGTTGGAAATGGTTTACAAGCCTCATAGATCAGTCATAGGTCTTCTAGGATGATAACTTATGTAATAGATAAGCCGAAATTAATCATTTTGACGTGTAAAATGTGTTGTATATTTGATACTTTCTACTTACTATCATAATTCAGTCTAAAATAATGTAAAGAAGTATTTACTATTAAAATATGTTTAATACACGAGACGGTTTCAAAGTGGTCTACCATTGAGTTGCGATGCTGTTGGCCGCGGTTTCGAATCCCACACGGAATAAATATTTGTATAGCCTACAAATAATTGCACCGGGTTTATGCGTTTGTGTTTGTGCAGTTTATGAATATTAACTGCATCCATGGTAAATAATTAGTTACAATTTCTTATTCTTTGCCTTTCTTATGACGAAATATACATTGTGTTAGCTCGTAAGACTATATCTTTATTAGTATGTAATATTTTTATAAATTAAAGCGATATTTTGCCACATAACCTCGAATTTGGGTACATTTAAATGCATTAAAGGCCTGAATTAAAATGTTTACATATGATTGGAAATCTACATGAATTTAATGCAAAAATAATAAATATATATTTCTTAGTTAAAATTTGACACGGTAGCGAATAATAAATTATTAAAGACAGTAGCATAATATGGCTATGTTACCTCCTCTATTTTCGCTGTCCGCTGGCTTCACTTGTATTGCTCGGTTCATCTGGAATAAAACAAAAATATTAAAGTTTTGCATATGTATTTAAAAGATAATAAGTATATATTTATATTAAAATTCTAGATTTTAAAAATATTATTATTATTAAATATTATTATTACATAATAAAAATCCTAGTATAACTTTTTATAGAATAATGCTAACAATCGAACACGTGCGAACAGCCCACCTGATGGGAAGTGGATTCTGCGACCAATAGACACTTACATTACATCTATCCACGATTTATAATCATAATGCAGATGCGTTGTCACCCCTGAGGACTGACTAAGATGGAATGCCTCGTTAAGAGAATAAAGGGTTTCCAGTTCTCTGTAACAACCATAAAATACACACCATTATACTGTTGTTTCACGCTGGTATTCAGTGAGAGCGTGGTCCTACCCTTGTCTAGCCGACCCATTCGTACCTACTGGAGCCGTAATACTCCAGTGTGGCTCTACCACGAAAAAACTATTCTCTATTCATTCATATTATTGTTGTAGAGCTGTTATTACAACTCTTCTAAAATTAATGTTCGTCATTTATCCGTTTTTAAAAGTAAGTACATCGCCTCATTTTTTTCTTTTATTCATGAAGTATCGTACGGTATTTTATTTTTTGACTATAATGAATTTTGACGCGCCCCGTAAAACGCTTTATGGCAGTGCTATTGCAGTGAATGTGCTAAGGTATTTTTAAAATTGAAAAGGTTTTGAAGCTTTAAGTTAAGGAATAAAAAATGTGTTTTAAGTATCTGTTACTTTGTAAAACTAGAACTTCGACAAAAGTTTGCAAAATATTATCAATGAACGCTAAATAAATGGTCTAGCCATTTATTTAGCGTTCGTCGTGGTTGTCCAAATGAGTATAAAGCCCTCTCTCATTCAGGTTTTTGAAGGTTGTGAGAACGATCAATAATACTTCAGAATACTAATTCTACTTTTCTGTGGCCTTAGCGTTATAATAAAATGCTTAGTTTATACATTTCTAAAATATTTATGTAAAAAGTGATAGTTTTGTATTTTATTAATGAAATTGTTTTTGAATAAAAATGCAAGCACATTTCTAGTTATCAGTGAATGACGTAGAAGGCATTGGAAAAAACTATTAATAAAGCTGACGTGCAACAGTAACGCTCCGGTAAGTCTGCAGTCTGTGATATTATCCTAGACGGCCCCCGCCAACACATCAGATTTGACAGCATACTAATATTCGCGATAAGCATTGGTTCCTACCAAAGATAATACATGAGGCTATTGAAATAAAAAAAAAACAAACAAATTTTAATAGAGAAGGAGGCTGGGTAATACATCTCGCTTGGGATCTTTTAATCAATAAAGTTAAAATTAAAGCGTAGCACTACCGCAGGACTTCAAAGTATAGTGGGCTTCGTCTTTAGGATTAAAAGTTTATAATTAAAAGCTGAAGGCACTCCGAATCAACTTTAAAATCGGAACGTCAATCACCTTAGTCCCTTGTGTTGGACCATGGAATTAAAAAAATATAAAAATATAAGCGATAAAATCCATTAAGTAAGTTTTATTCAACTAGGTATAATGTCACCTAAGTTGTACATATAGTGTGTAGTTTTATTTAGTTATTGCTTATTAAATACAATAAACAGTTTAAATCATTTGCGTTTGTATGTGGTAGAGCCACGCTGTAGCTATATTACGGTTGTAGCACGAGTGGGTCAGACGGTGGACCACACTCTCACATAAAACCAGCGTAGCAGCTTAACAGGAGTGTCTTTCATATAGTGAATGTAGAGATCCGGAGATCCTTTTTTACTAGAGACGAGGCATTCCATCTTGTTCCTCAGGGGTAACAACGCATCGGCATTTTGGTTCTTAATCGAGGATAAATGTAAATGTAGCTATGGGCCACAGCATCTACTTACCATCAGGTGGACTGTGTGGTTGCTTGTCACCCTTACTCTATAAAAAATATATATAATTATTTTTATATGTAAGCTGTTAGGTTGCGGGTAAACGTTTGCTAGTTAAGATAGCTTAGCATGAATAAATATAGGCCTTAAGTTCAAAACTAAACCTTAATTTATTATTTACAAATTCTATAAAATGTAAAACCACAAAGTATTAATGATATTCATATTATATACTGTGCTCGTCTTATACATTTCAAGATGAAGAAAGAATTCAAAAAACACTTAAATTCGTTGCAATATTCTTAAGAATGTTGGATTCTGCAATATTACAATCTTTGAAGACCGAGTACCTCAGAAGACGGCAATGCCAAATCTATGACAATAGATGAATCGTCGACCTTTATATTTTAGGTCTTAGACGTGAGTCCTTTTAACCTTTCGACCCGTTCCCTCCCATCTCGTTAGCTGTGAGCGTGAGCTAAGTAGTAGAAAGTGCAACCCGAAATAAAAAGCAAACAAAAAGTGAGGTCATTATAATTATTACAGTGTCTATATTATCCATGAAACAAATGCTAAAATGAAATGACCCTTCGTGTACAAAACCGTCGTCGTGTGTAAAAATGTCGGGTATTAAAAGCAACATAAATAAACGCGATAAAATCCGTAAAAGTAGTTTGAATCAATGTTTAATTGTTTGACTATTTTAAGTGAACTAAGCAACATAAAGTACTAGAACTCTAAAGACTAGAAGTACTACTAGAAGGCTATATTATGTTACAATAAAACATTCGTCTTCTATTTTTACTTAAATATAAATGGCACCAGCTTTGGGGCACAGCGTATTCAATTTAAAAAAAATCATTAATATCGGTTTACAATTGTTAAGATATCGCGTACAAATATCCCCTTTTTGAAGCAGTATGTAGGGACCTATATTCAGTAGTGGACTCTGATAAGCTCATCACCATCATCATCATTACATTCCTTAACAAGTCCACTGCTGAACCTGGCCTGGCGGAGGTCTTGGTAGGTTGTAACGACTAAATTCATATACGTACAAAAGTACAGTCGAATTGAGAATCAACCATTTTTAGAAAATTGCTAAAAACTCGAATTGCCTGAATTGATCCTTTTATAAATTGCAAAATTCTGGTGTGCTAACGTTCGTTATTCTTCTCCTCAAATACTATATCCGATTCAGCGTCACTAAGCCGAGCGTGACGGTTCAGTTTCATTCACTGTTCAGAAAGAGAACAATTAAAAAAGATATCACTTCAATAAAGAATGCAAAGTATGAGTTGAGTCGAATGCCGGAGTCTAACGCATTGTTCCGATCTAAATAAGCGACACTCGAATCACGCGTTACCGACATCAATTTTCACTGTGGTCGTCACCCTAATGGTTGGTTTGAAAATAGAGACGGCGGTGAAACCGCAGAGTACTCTCTGTACCACATCAGAGGTGTTTCATTAAGACATTTTCTACGTAACTTACTTCCTGACGAAATTGATAGACAAATTAAGATTTTTAATAACAATATATCCATAATTGAATGTTGCAGGTTCACAGATATATATGTTCATTTCGTCGAAACGTCTCCTCTAATATGTTATTGGTTCTGTGCCAACTAATGCTGTTCTTCGTTATTAGTGGCCCAGTTCTTCAGTAAGCAGAATGCAACGTAAATAGGATATTTAAAGAAAAAAATGTTGCCATCCTTCTCTTCAATTTTAATTTTTTAAAATACAAGATTTATGAAAATATAATAAAATATACAATTTTTCTCCAAAACGAAGGGTTTAAAAGGGGCATGTCCATCAAAAGAATCGAATATAGGATATACTACTGTTTCGATTAAGTATGAAAATGCAGATGCCTTATCATTTTATTCAAGTCTTAAATTTTATCAAATGAGCAGACGCGTTATCACATCTGGGAAATAAAATACAATGCCTCCGTTTCAGTAAAAAGGGTCCCAATCCTCTACACTCATCACACAAATCGCAGCAGCATAGTGCTGCTATTTGACACTGGTATTCCGTAAGGGCGTGGTTCTTCTCCGGTCGAGCTGACCTTCTCGTACTACAGCTATATTATTACTGCCGCAAGGCTCTACTACGTAAAAACTGGGTAATGCATTATGTCGTTATGACAAATTCAACCAAATCAAATCAATTTGTGCGTGTTGTTGTCACCCACTGACATATTCTTTTCACTAAGAACGCAGTGCATCCACTGGTTTATAAGGTATAAAGATATGTTACATTTTAGTGAGCATGAGTCACTTCGAACCCACCTTTAATCTATGTCTAAAATAATGATGATAGTAGACAGTATTTTTATAATTAATTTCTAACACAATAAGCTGTGCCATTTTTCAATTTTTTTTCTGTATGTGCAGATATTACATACTATTATAGCATATTAGTTCCACGGAGAATCCCTTACAAATTACATTACGTTTGGTAAAAAATACTTTCCGTTTATAACGCTGGTTAGAATGGGAAGACCATCTTCTAATTCTAAAATACATGTATTCGATGTAATACTTATATGGTAAGCTGTGGACACGACTATGTATATAGATATGACGTTTTTATATCTAGATATGAAAAATATTTTTGTTTAAATTCGAACACACAGTGAATCCTGTTTTAATTAAAATCCAAGACGCGCGATGTGGCAGCTAGACATTTTGATCACTACTTTACCTCTGACAGAAACTCTAGTCACCCAGACTGGTGCAATTTCCCCACATTTCCACACAAGTGGTCTGTTTAAACACAAGAAAAGGTAATAAAAAACATCCTACCGCAATTCTCAAGTTATATTTCATAGATGGCTTCTAAATCAGATATAGTTTTTTATTTATGATTTTAAAAACATTGTCCATTCTAAGCTGACCAATCGTCGCATTAATTTGCTTTAACACAGCCTAAGTAAATAGTCCAGTACATACATAATATTTACACCTAAAGCCAGTGCTAGCTGACGGCCGCCCCGCCCACTGCAAGGCGCATATGTTTCCGTCTCTTTCCCTCTATTTCAGCTGATAAATGAACCAAGTAATTTCGTTTCATTTTACCTAAAGTCTTGCAGAATTGTTTCTGTAAGC